TTTTCACTAGGGAACGTTTATACTGGACAGAAACAGAACTGGTAAAATGAAGATATTGTCCACTCCATGTCTGTTTACGAAAAATTGATCGCCGAAGCGTTCCATCATCTCACCTGGTCATTGTAATATCCAGGAAACCGAGTTTGCTATTCAATTCGAGTTTGGAAGCCACTCGAATATTTGGATGCATATGATTAAATAGGGTAATAAAGTTTTCAACAGATTTACTATTATTACCAATAATGAGAGTATCATCTATATAACATTTATATAGCATAAATTCTTCAAGCATACCTAGCTTTTGTTTTTCCAATTTCAACATGAATATATCTACCAACAGTGGCCAAGAGGGCTCCCCATCAAAATACCATCGATTTGTTTGTAGTACTTTTCATGGAATGTGAATCTAATATTTTCTGTACACATTAAGATAATGTCTCTGATGTAAGTGACAAGAATAGGTAAGTTTATACCATTGCTTGTGATGTAATCGCAAATGAAATCAACAGTTTCATGAATAGGAGAGGAACAGGAGTATAGGACAACATTATGAACAGAAAGCATAGACAAGATTTGTAGCTTAGGCGGATGATAATGAATTAGTTGCGTTCTCTGAGGAGCTGATTGATTTAATTACGAAGCGGTCGTCATCACCCTTCTCTCTCTCTCTACACACACACAACATCTTCCTTCGGATCAGATTTCCATACAAAATGGACTTATTCGAACTCTCCAGGAATGATGTGAGATCGTGTATCCATCCTGGCGACCATTGTCGTGCTTGACTGATTTGACTTGATTTACTTCTCCAATATTCATATTTTTTTATTGACTTGGATATCGAGCTTTCTTGTCATATGATTTAATTTTCATAAGGTGGTGGTAAATGTGGTCCATAATAATGATGTGTTTCAGGACTTCATCACTAGCTGGCATTAGTTAGAGAACAATTGGAAACCTGGGAGCACTGGCAGTTGTTTTGTCGGCCTAGTTTGGGACTCGTCAGCAGTACGCACTCACCTGGGTTCGAATCCCGGTTGGTTCGTGCTGATGAAGAGTCTCAAACTATGACGAAACAGCTGTCCAGTACTCCCAGGTTTTCCAATGGTTCTCTAACTAATGTCAGCTCATGATGAAATCCTGAAACCAATCAAATCCCTACAAACCAACACTTGAATAATAATGTGTTTGTTAATCTCTGGCTGTTACATTTGAATATCAGGCTTCGGAATGAATTACTCATATTCGTAATAATTCTTTCAACTAATGAGACTAACATGTCGATAGCTTATATGGGATTTGAACATAGTAAAATTATTCATTCAGACATCTATAAAACACAAAATAATCGAGAAAAGAATATTCTTTTCTATAAATATTCCTCTTCTGACTCTACCGTTATATATGCATGTTTATTTCCACAAAATATTCAAGATTGATACTTAATAACAATATTGGTGTTTTTTAAATAATGTTGATTTGTAAAGTAAGATCATAACGGAATTACAGTTCACTGAAGATGTTCAAATTATAATAATAAGTATAAAAATATAATAGCAAATAGAATATCAACTAAAATTAGGAAAATTTCACGAAAATTCAGGATCATTCAAACCTAAATGGTCATTGTATTGATAATGTCTGAACTAACTTCTTACGGATGCACAAATTAGGCTTCTTAGTGTGGATAATGCGACATACAACCGGCCATGAGGAAACAGGCATAAAATGGACTCACACAAAAGACTAGGAGGAACTGGACTTCGCCGATGATATTTGACTGATTTCCCACAAACTGGAAGATATGCAAGTGATGAAAAGCAACAAGTTGACAGAAGAAGAAGCATCAAACATAGGAATTCAAGTGAAAATAGAGAAAACAGAGGTGACGTTGAAGATTCCTGGCCAACACCAACAGCAACAACAACAACAAACGACAATCAGCATAAATGGGAGGAACCTGAAAGAAACAACCTCCTTTACCTACCCACTGACCTGGGAAGCATCGTTTCAACTACAACGGAACTGACGAGGATATCAGAGCGGCGAGGATCGGGAAAGCAAGACAAGCTCTCATTACTCTTAAGTCTGTGTAGAAGTCAACAGTCCCACTCGGCATGAAAAGTAAGATCCGGATTTTCAACTCCAATGTAAAGACAGCCAGTGCTACTATACGGATCAGACACTTGGCCAGCGCGTCATAAAGAGCATCTCAAACAAACTTCAGACCTTCATCATATTACAGTTGTCTTCGCTCAATACTACTCAAGATCAGATGGCCGGCCAGAAAAGATCAGCAAAACAAAGATGTCTGGGATCTAACCAACCAGGAACCGATTGTGAAACAAATAGGCAGGAAGAAATGGAGATGGATTGGCTGGCCATACGCTGAGGAAACCATCAAATGACATCACAAGACAAGCCATCGCTCGAGTGGAACCCGAAAGGTAAGTGGCCAGTTGGTGCCAGGGTGACTTGAAGTAGGTGATGTGAAGAGTGGATAAAAGCATGTGGGCAGACTTGGAGCTGGGTGAAAAAGTTGGCAGAAAACGGAAAGCAATGGAGACGCGTGACTGAAGCCGTATGTTCCTCTAGGAATTAAAGGATATAATAATAATAATATGGATCTTCGCAACCTCAGCAATATTTAGTAGTCGATTTTTTAAGGCGAAATTTATATTCGTAGGTATGCGGTAAATGACCCTGAAAGCGTGGTTAACATCAATCTTGTGTTCTGTGTCCACAAGATGAGACTGAATAGCGATAAGTGAATAGATTTTGTTTGTCCTTTACTTAACTACTATGCAGGGTGATGTTGGGAAATTCGATGAGAAACATGCCTTATTGTACGGCCTAAGCAGCTAACTGGCTCCACAGGAGCAGTTAATTTGGTAGATACACATGGAAGAGGCAAAATTAGGCAGTATATCTTTTACTCCCTAAAGCATAATAGGCTGGGTGGTTTTGAAGACACAGCGTGATTGGGCAACAGGGAATGCTCTTTGTACCGCATTTCTAAGGCGCTGTTAGTATCTCACTGATGTTGTCTACAAGGGACTGCATTTGTAAGAATGAGGCCTTTTTTGGAACTGTTGGTAACTTGGGCTGCTTCGATTTTAGATTCATGTTCCATGTATATAAACATACATATAATTGTAGAGCCAGAGGAGGAATTTATCGAAAAGGATATATTTTGTTTAATTATTTTATGTTTTATATGTTATTTGTAGAGTTATACGTTAATCGCATACATATCAGATGATAAAATTGTAGACATTCATCACTTACTATGTCTAAGAAGTTGCTTTTTACTTATTTTGTTATAAGTTAACTGCAGTATGATGAGGTTGAAACAAAGGCGAATATTGATCAAAACAGACTGTTAAGTTAATACATGCTGCCATTGACTTTCAGTTTTAGTTAAGTAGGGAAGTGTAAGTTGAATAAATTAGTTCATTTGGTAGCATAGTTCAGTCTGAAATCCACTCACTGTTTTCCCACTTAATCGTAATTCAGTTAAATGTTCCGTCAAACAAAGAAGTGGCTCTACATAGGTAACACATATCTAGTCATTTCAGTCGACGCAGCTTCGCAATGCATTATTAACACTGTATGCATAATCTCAGTATTGGTCACAGGATTTGATCATCATGAGCTGACATCGGTTAGAAAAACACTGGAGTATTCGACCGCTTTTTCGTCCTGATTTGAAACTCTCCATCAGTATGCACCCACTGGGGTTCGAACCCAGGACCTTCTGGTAACAAGACGAGCTCTTACACCATTAACCATTCACCAGAGGTTCCTGGGTTCGAGGGTAGGTGCGTTCTATCGAAGAGCCGCAAACTAAGACGAAACAGCTGTCGAGTACTCCAGTGGTGGCTTTCCAATTGTCCTTTAACCGATGTCAGTTCATGATGAAATCCTGTAACTAATTAATCTCAGTATTGTTGAGCAACAATTAAAATCTATCTACCAACAAATATTTCCAGGAAAATGGAGATGAATGAGACACAAAGTGAGGAGAATGTTGATTGAAATCACACATCTGGCCCTCTGGTGGAACCTAGATGAGAAGCAAAAAATTAGGCATCCATATATACATATATATATTATATATATATATATGTCATGAAGGAGATCTTATGAGAAAGAGATGACGGTTTATTGGAAACCATGCGGCCGGGTAAAGATGACCTCTGAGAACAGAGTAAAATGGAGATCTGTTATTGAAGTCCTATATTTTCCACCCAGAACCCAAGGAAATAACAACAAACACAATCAATACATACTACCGGTTGACTGTAATGACTGGTTGTTGTATGCCAATTACACTAATCAGTAGTGCTGGCTAACAGGATCAAAGTTATTTAAGCACCTGCTGGACAACCGTTTCCCTCATCTCCTTCACTCAGCAGTATTTATAGTTTCATGCAAATATGCCTGGGTTTCTTCATTACTATTTAATGGTATCTAGCAGATTATATCATATCGGTTACCAAAGGAAACTGTGCAGAGATTTCACTTGCCTAAAACTGTGTAAGTTGTGAACTAATTTGCAAATTATATAGCTTTGACTAATATGTCTATGCCTCGAGAAAAAAAATGTGAACATTCAAATACTGCAAATCTTGTTCTCTTGGCCTCCATGAAAATCTCTACTCCTTATCGAAAATACTCTAACTAGGACTGTTACCGCATTATTCATGCTTAGATTTTTTTATACACAGATATCAGTTAAATATAGTTGTCATTCTGCTTTTTTTTCATTTCAAAATACCAACATTAAAATAAACTGTACATCAGAAATTCAAACGGAAATATATCTGATTAGTGGTTTCACTTTATTGCATCAAAATGTCGGTATCTTTTTAAAGTATGTATATATTTATCTGTACTGATATATACACGCATAAATATTTGGGATATTGAAACAATAATTCGTTTTTATTTGAAAATATAACTCTCTACTATTAATATTATTCAATTATTGATCTTACTGGTGATTCTAAATCGATCGATTTTTCTTCATCTGAATTGTTATTATTATTATTATTACGATGTGATGACGAACATTTACCCATTGAATATTGAACATCCCAATTGTTGTTTAAATGCTCCAATGAAGATGAATAAACATTAAGCGGGCAATTATTATTCCTGTTAGAAGTAATCTTAGAAGATGAAGTGATTTTCTTTGTGAATTGTCTTTTATTACATTTTGATTTGATTTGATTATTTAACGCATGAAATTCACACGATTTATACCTTCTACCGAATGATAACTTGATTTGTTCATCAATGATAGGCTTATACTTTTCATTGAACAATTGAATAGACGATAATGTTGATGAAGAGGTGGATTTGTGTTTATTATTTTTAGGTATATAAGTGTATAAATAATCTGGTATGCCTCTCTTTGATATGGCTGTATTCCTCATCATCATCATCATACGAGAGGAGGATGATGATGGTGATGACAAAGAGATGATCGGCCTGTTTTTTAAATGATCCATCAGCATGATCTTATTCTGATTTATGTTATTGACTGCCTCTTTCTTTTTTGCAAATGAATAAAAGTCATCACTATCAGTATTTTTCATGTCAATGTCATCATCGAATGCTATCGGGTCATCAACATCATCAATATCATTATCACTGATAGGGTAATTATCGATGCATTGTGACCAGATTTCAGTTAACTGTTCTTCAGTCTATATGAATAAATAAATAGGCATAAAATGGTGACAAACATTAGTAGTTATTTATATGGTGAAGTAATTTTTTGAAAGATATATATATATATATATAATCGCTTATTTATTAAGTGCAATTCAGATAATGAGTGATAAGTTATGCTTATTCAAGTGAAATACCAAGTTGCGTCATCCTGCAGACAGACAGACAGACAGAGAGAGAGAGCGAATAAAAGATGAACTGGTGTAAAGACAGAAGACAAAGACCAGGAAACAGGCCGTTTATCGAGGAAATCAACAGGTTTCTGTAGATGTTTATATTATTATTATTATTGTATCCTTTAGTTCCTAGAGGAACATAGGGCTTCAGCTGCGCACCTCCATTGACTTCGGTTTTCTGACAACTTTTTCACCCTGCTCCAGGTCTGTCCACATGCTTTCATCTCCTCCTCGCATGACCTCCTCCAAGTCACCCTTGGACGACCAACTCGCCGCCTCCCTTTCGGGTTCCACTCGAGGGCTTGTCTAGTGATGTCACTTGATGGTTTCCTCAGCGTATGGTCAATCCATCTCCATTTATATACATTATTATTATTATTGGCGTTATTGTTAGCAGAGAAGCAACGTCTTCTGATTGGTTGTTTTCTCGCTCAAGGTTATTCTATACTACTTGTGACCATTTCTTAGAGAGTTAATCCATATATCTGTGAATCGTATTTGCACACGTTAAGCCTGCTGTGATTGGTTAGTGAGTTGCTCAATGTTAAGCTTTGTTGTGGTTTCTTTCATGACCCCGATTTGGGACGTAAACATTGATGTAAATTTTTGTCTATAATTTTGGCTAGCAGACAGCTGTCACCACACTGGATGCAGAGCTCCACCATCCAATGGGACAAGCTGGATTCAGGAAAGGCCAATGATGTACTGATCGAATCGTAACTCCAAGCATCGTCATCATTATCGAACAAAGCAGAGAATGGCAGTCAAACCTCTCTCTACCTAAACTTCATCGACTTCGAAAAGGCCTTCGATAGACAGCGTTGACCGAGAAGTAATTTGGAAACTACTTCAATATTACGAAGTGCCTCAAGTCTTTAATAACCTCATTCAATCGTTGGCTATATAACAACTCCATGTGTCAGGTGATCTACAACGGAAAACTCTGCAAGGGATTAGAAGTGAATGTAGAAGTAAAAGAAAACTGGCTGACTGTTTATTATCACCAACGATGATATTGCTAATTGTGGTGCACGGGATTCTGTGCCTTGGGAGTGACAAGACAGGCATAGTCTGCTCTTACCGATGATTTGTGCTTAATGTCTTACACACTCGAAGACTTGAAGGCAGGCAAAAACCAACAGAATAGCTTAAGACTCTGGCAGTCAAGACAGGACTACAGGTGAACGCTGAAAAGATGGGGATGATGAGTATAATCAACCACCGCCACCGCCACCAACAAACAACAACAGCAACAACAGCAACCAGAACCAATCACCAACACAAGTAGAAATTTAAAAGAGATTATCTCCTGGCTTCACTTATCCAGGAAACATGGTTTCAAACACAGTCATTTGGACAGCACGGATGCAGATGTCAAAACCACCCAGCCAGCCAGTCAGTCAGAATGGGAAAGGCAAGGCAGCACATCTTCATCAATCTGAAATCAGTTTTGAAATCTTTCACACTCAACACCAGCACAAAGAACAGGATTTAGATTTTCAACACCAATGCCAAGTCAGTCAGTTCTTCTATATGTATATATGGGTCAGACATTTGGCGAGCCGCAAAAGGCATTTCCACCCAACAGACTTCATATTTTTATCAACAGTGGCCTTCGATGGCTTCATATTCAAGATCAGATAGTCACAAAGGATAGGCAACAGGAAACTCTGCCATAAAAGAAAAAAACCAATCAAGAAGCTGTTTCTGAACAACATTTCCCAAAAGAAAATGGCGATGGATCGGATAAAGTGAAGAGGCTGTTGAATGATGTAGTGAGCAGTGCAAGGCATCAATCGAGTGGAACCCGAATCACAGAGGCCAAGTTGAGTATCACTTCAAGGGTGATAAGGAGGAGAACGTATGAGGAGGAGATGAGTGCTTATGGACAATCGTGAAGTCAGCTAAAGAGGCCTGGAGAGAACAGGTTGTAATGGAGGTGTGGCGGTGAAGCCTCAGGGAAGTTATATGTATTGTAATATAACCTCGGTAAAGCTGATATAAACTTACATTTATTCCTGGTTTCGACTTTAATTCACTTTTCATTAATTTTGATAATTTGTTAAAAATATCATCTTCCTGTATATAGATAAACAGATAATAATAATAATAGTGGTAATAAGAATAATATTAATGACGACACCAATAATAAAGAATCTAAATCATCAACAGTAATTCCATACAAGGAAGGAACCTTGGAAGCCTTACGCAGAATTCTTAACAAGGCAGGAATAAAAGTGGCTGGCATTCAAACCCACAAACTCAATTAGAAACTACCTTTGTCGGTTAAAGGATCAATCCTGTGAAGCCTTTAAAACAAAACAATTTAGTTTATCTAATACCCTGCCTGCAATGATTGTCAGGTCAAATACATAGGTCAAACTAGTAGAACAGGGACAGTCAGAGTAGCTGAACATAAAAACCCAGCAGCAAAATCTAGATTGGTTGACCCAAATAAGATAAGAAATCTAGAGAATAGTTCAGCTATAGCACTAGATGCAGTTACACACAACCATACAATAGGCTGGATGGGATAGGATGACAGTTTTAAGATCTAATGTCACAACGAGGTGGAGGGAGAGATTGATAACAGAAGCTTTGTTTATCGAATCAACTGCAAATACATGTAATACGAATGATTCATCACCTGTCCTGATATCTGGAAAATTCTACTACCCCCACGACAAATAAGAGAAAACCAAGAAAACTATAAAAATCAAGTTTCGAAGTCGTGTGATTACAATTGATATGATTATGAACAATGATAAATTTTGTTCGAAACGTCATCGAGTAAATAAATACTGTTTCACTGTGTGATACATCTAATAAATAAACTAATATGGAATTACTTACTACCACAGTGCCCAAGTTTTACACATAAAATAATAGATAAACAGAAATAAGTAATATAGCTTTAATTTTTATTTTTTGTAGATGGTTGTATACATCTTACAGGCAAATTAAGTGTAATCTGTATGAACTCTGACCAAGAATTGATTGAATAGTCTCACTAAAACATTGATCACTGAATGAAAAGTAGAGATCTGCTTGATGATGACTAGCAGGGGAATTCGTGACATGACATGCAAATTTCATCCTATTTGGGAGTCTTCACCTGGATTTACCTGAATTCGCAATGGTCTGTGGTCGTGTAGTCTACACACTTAGACTCGAACCCGACCTCAAAGTACTGTCCACTATGCCAGTAGGTAAAGCGTGAACCATAGATATCATGTTAAAAATCCGACATCAAGGAAGCGTCCGTACTAGGAGCTGACGCTTTAAAACAGACCAATCATTGTGGTGCTATACAAATGAACTCAAAAAGCGTGAATTGAGTCATTGAGAAGAAGGGGTGAATAGTTACTCATCTTGGTGATAGCATGTATATATATATATGCACGATTCAGCAATGTTATTTCTCCACATAAAGAATTTTGGCAGAGTGGCTTTTATAATAAATAATATGCAATGCTTTACAGGTCTTATTATTATTATTGTTCCCTTGGGTTCCTAGTGGAACATAGGGCTTCAACTGCACGTCTCCACTTGCTTCATTCTCTCTTCTGCTGTACTTTTCACCTGCATCCATGTTAGTCCATATTGTTTCAACTCCTCTTCACACCATGTCCTCCATGTCACCCTTGCAATGACGTCCCACTCGCCACTTCCCTTTCGGGTTCCACTCGGGCAATGGCTTGACGCGCGACTTCATACAGCGCCGACCTCCTAAGCGAGTGTCCAATCCATCTCCACTTTCTCCTGCATGTTTACTGGTTGGCGATTGGTTCTTGCTTTGTTTGTTCGCATAATTCCTTGTTGGTGATTCTTTCCGGCCATCTGATCTTCAGTATTGAGCGAAGACAGTTGTTAATAAAGGTCTGCAGTCTTTTGGAAATATTCTTTGCGACCCGCCAAGTTTCTGATCCGTATAGAAGAACTGACTTTACGTTTGTATTGAATATTCGAATTTTGTTGTTGACGCTGGCTGAGTGACGAAGATTTCCAGATTGATTTCAGGTTGATGAATGTGTTTCTCGCCTTCTCGATTTGACATCCTCGTTCGTTCCGACTTCCTGTAGTTGAGACAATGCTCCCTAGAAAAGTGAGTGAAGTAGCCTCTTTCAAATCCCTCCCGTTGATGGTGATTGACGTTGCATGTTGTTGCTGTTGTTGGTTGGTTATTTTCATAACCTCCGTCTTGTCTATGTTCACTTGGAGTCCTGTCTTCGCCGGCTGCTTCTTCGATCAGTTTGTCGGTCGTTTTTCGCTTGTAAGTCTTCGATTGTGTGTGACATCAAACACAAATCATCCACAGGCAAAATCCAGGTCTTCTAGGTTCTTCACGTCGGTCCAGGATATCCCTGTCTTCTCGTTTCGCAGATACCCAAAACTTCTATTCTATATCTCCTCATTTCTGCTGCTACCTGGGCAGCCTTTTCAGTTTCGTACACTGTACGAACATTACAGGTACCAATCGTTAATTTTTCTTTCATTGAAAGAAGGCACATCGGCTGACTGGCTTCCCGAAGGCTTTCACCAGCCTGTGTCATTTCACTTCCCCGATTCCAGCGAAAAGTAAGGCTATTGCTTATGTTTTTAGAATTTTTGATATATTTATTCGTTGAAGTTTCTGTAGCGATTTGGTTGTTTTACAGGGGTGGAGTTGCTACCACCACGCCCCAACCCTCCCTCGTTACCCGGGCTTGGGACGGGCTAGAAAACTAGCAAGCTAGTAGTCTAGGCGAGGCTAGAAAACTAGCGAGCTAGTAATCCAGACGAGATTTTTCCAGGTCTAGAGAGATTAAATAAATGAAAGGATCTGATAAGTTTGCAGACTTTGTGGTTATAACAATAATATAAGTTTAGTGTCTGTTACAGTATCACAACATCTCTATAACTAGATAGTTCAAAATCCAATATTGGCGTAAACCTTTGCGAAAAAGTGGATTGTTGAGCATTCCTATGGAAGGGAAACTCTGTTGTGCTTTATACACCAGCAGTATTAAACTAGGCGCCTGTACCTTTTTTTCTCTCCTGAACTTATCTCATGTTTAGTTCCTTCATTGTGGTCTCAAGTGTTGTACTTTTGTAACTCGTGTTGGTAATAGCCTGATGACAGAAACCTTATTTTTTGTTCCTTTCTTTTTCTGTGAAATTTTACACACTTTCTATTATGGAGTTCTGTTATCACTATCGGCAATACTTTGTTATCCATTTTCAACTTTTAATCAACGTATTGACTGATATTAGATGAGACAATATTGACCATAAATATTATTGTTGTTGTTATTCCATTAGGTTCTGAGGGGAACACAGGATTTCAACAGCACATCTCTATTCCACACTGTCCTCTAAAATAACTTCTAGTTAGCCGACAACACTGATCATAAGCTTTCATCGCCTCCTCCTCCACTTCCTGTGATATCCTTCATGTCACTCTCGAAATGTTGTTTAACTTATTGTTCGCCTGTTGAGTTCCACTCAACAGCCTGAGGCATGATTTCAATCAACATTCTGCTTCGTATACGTCCAATGCATTTCCATTTGCTTCTTCATATTTGATTCGCATGAACCTGAGGGATAAGTTAACACCGATGGCCAGCCTTATCAATATACATCCATCAATTCACCTGCTCAACCTGTGGAACTAGGTATCTCCATCATACCCAGAGTTTGTTATCCAAACTTACCATCGTACACTTACCCCCATGTCTTTATAAAGGAGAAAAAGATTCCCCTCGAAACCTTATTCTGGAACACCTGATGGAATCAGGACAACATCAAGCAAACCCATAAAGAAACTTTAAAGTCATCTATAGAATACCTGAGAATCTTGCTAAAAGAGTATGAATCAAACTTCTTCGAAGTGCAGAAGCAATGGCAGTTAAAGTGTTAAAATCTGAACTATGCATACAAAAATCTACAGTGGACCTGACCTATCTTAGCACCAAACACGTAGTTCTTGTAGCGTCTTTTTCTTGCTTGTTTGTTTCTTAACTGTACAATATTTTCTCCCCGGACTCCCTCCAATCCACCCACCCCCCTTATTACCATTGTTGTTAACATGACTTTTGTTCAATTTTAATGCTAGTTGAGCTCTATTCAACCCCGCCAATTAGATTATGCCACTCGACTTGCTTATTTGATCTTCTTTTAGTTAATAACCCATTAACGAGATTCGTTATCTAAAATTTACAGTTCTGACACCACATATTTGGAAATATTCATTTTGTTGCTAGGGAAATTATATATATGTATATGTATATTCGATTGTACAGCTTGACAATGATATCGCCAAAAAGGGGAGTAACACTTTACTGAACATCGTTTCTTTGATATAACTCAATGGGAATTTTTAAGTTTGGCATATTTGTTGGGTGATAATAGGTTCTGTGCCAGCTGGTTTGTTGACAGAGGTTATTGGTGCTAATCCCTTATGGTCGTCTGATCTTCAAAGTACAGTGTCAAGGCAGCTATTGATAAAAGTCTGCAATTTGTTTGATGAAATGTCGTCGGTGATCCGAGTGACAAGTCTCTGCACCATACTGAATCACTTACTCAGAGATACCAGTGTAATTTATTGACATACTGTTTTCAGAAACTTCATGCATTTATTCCCCTTTATGTGAATTTGAATAAAGCAAGAACAACAGTGCAGTTTGTGCAGAATAAGTTGATGGTACCGTCATTGTTTATTTCCTAGACTTCTCATCAGCTCAACTGCTTGTTTACACCCTTAATAAATCATGACGTTTATGTACAGAAAAGTTTTAACATTCTTGTAAATATATTTCCATTATGTCAGTTGACAGAAGGCTCCACAATTAGTGAACAGTACTCAGAAAATTACACTTACATAGATTTTATACAGGCAGTTCAAGTTTAAACAAAATAAATGCATGCATACAATGGTAAAGGAGCTATGGAGTTACAGACGAGAGATGCGTAAGATGCTGAGTGACTAATAAATTAGGTGATCTTGTTTTGATTTTCTTAACACGCTGGGATTAATTTAAATAATTTTTAACGAATCAATCTGACTCGGCGCTCAAATTATTTCAGGAAATCCGTAACACCTACGGTCTGGAAACCTATAACCCTTCTTTGCTTTGTTTTTTCTCTATTCTCTGTTTTCTTTCTCACCTACACATTTTGCGTCTCCCTACCCATTATTTGTGATCTTGACCTGTACACAATCTGACCTGTATTGTAATTATTCATGTGTTCTTGCCTTCTATAAAAACTGTGCATGGCAAGTACGTGTGTGTGTGTGTGTGTGATCAGAATATTCGAAATGTGTTCCGCCAATACATTACACGTTTCAGATAAACTACGTCTTCTCTTATTGTGTTGTTGAAAGCAAAAGTATGCCAGTGATCACTCAGATACTGCTCCCGCATACAGTGAGAAGACATAGGACAAGTGACTGACCGACTAAGAAGGCAGAGATTTACTGCCTCATAAAAGAGGATAATATAACTGTAAATTACAGCTGATTATATAGTTTCTTTCAGATTGCGGCTTGCGCCACTGAAAAGATTTATCAGTAGTATATATGTATATAAAGAAATATTCATCTGCATAATAAATATCAAATAGGCAAGGAGATCGGTTTGATGTCAGAGAAAGCGTAAATGATACAGCTGTGCGAAGATCCATATGAAACGACGTGAATGGAACACGCAGAAACACAATATGATGAAGGAAGGCCAGAAGTAGCAGGTACAATACAGAAGATCTGTGCAAATGGTGCTTTGAAGATATGGTGTACATGATTTCATCATATTGAGATATCCATGCTGAAAATTCCATACTAGTACCAAAAATATAGTGTGGAATCAAGCTGTAATCAAAAAAATTTTTAAAAAATATCAGGTGTGCGCTGGCAGGGGATCGAATCCCGGACCATGTGTATGGTTGGCGAGAGTCATAACCACTGTGCCACCGATGCATCAAGGTCAAAATATGACATAACACCATAAAGTATTTAATTGTCGATTTTAACCATTTGAGGACGTGTAGGCTCCTTGCACTAGACTCTTCGAGACGTTATGTACCAACGAAGTGAGACTGTTGTTACAGATATCGTTCAAAATCATCCTCAGTGGAGTAGATGTATTCCTCTCTGACAGTCTCCTAGACCTATTAAATTCTCATCATTCATCATGTAGTTCTTTCTTTCTCTTATACACTTCCGGGTATTATAGTTTCTCTGCATTTCTTCTTATTTTCTCCACCTTTATATACATATACATGATTTTATGAAGTAAGCCAAACTGAAATGTTGTAGTTTTCCACATAACGACCCCCTAATTCTATCAGTCGTATCAGTCGCATTCTTCATACTTTATTAACGTAAATCACAAAGAAGAAAATTTAAACAATGCATAAATAGTATTCTGTATGTACATCAGTGATTGAATAGTATAAAACAGTCATCAATCAGCAACGTTGAAGATTTAAGTTCACTCCCCCTCAACTGACATACTCCGAAACTTTGGCTTATTTTCTGTAAGCCTTTAGTAAGCCTGAGAATGACGAAAGGGAAGCCCTTTCCTTATCCGTAGACATAAACCAGTAAAAAACAAAAAAAAAAAAAACGAAAATAAATTACTGTAACTGGATTTAGATAGGTTGTCTTTATTTCATCCAACAGATCACCTCTGTTACGATGAAGAAATTGTCCAAAATTTGAAATAATCATTGATGCATATTTCTTTTGCAATGCTGGATCATCAGTTGGAAAGATACGACGCCAATTCCCACTATTATGATGTTCATAGAATTCTAAGGCTAATTGTTGACGTATTGAAAGTAATTGTTGACGCTAATGAATAAACAGATAAATAAAGAAAATGAATATATGAATACGCGTATAGACATATGACAGAGAGAGAGAGAGAGCGCGAGAGCAATGTGGTTTCAAATCAATTGTAACAAATTTCTGAAGAATTAGCCGATCAGGGGAGTGATAGACGGTGGTAAGATATGAAAAAAGATGTTATTGGTCTTTAAGAAAAAAAATTATTAGACTGCAATGTTGTCTGCTTGATGTTGTGGAATTTGCAGTCGAATGTAGAATGAGCGTTTCGTTCTATTCGGGACTTTTCAGCCGGATTTATTTGCACTGTCAGTGAGTGATAATAGTGTTCTTACGGAGACTAAAACTGAAAAACCAGCTTTGCAAACAATGAAATTCCCTCTCTCTGACTATGTATATGCTAAGTCACAAGAGCCATCTTTCGTGCAATGGCTATCAACTGTTAATTGTTTATGATATTTTGTCGCATTTTGTGCTGATCCATTATGTTGACACATCGAGTTCTGGTTGAGAAGCCTGAAGTACACCTTTGGATCGAAATGAAAATTATTATCATTTAATGTCACTGTAAATTCATGGAATCCTTCGAAGTGAGGACGTGAGTGAGGCAAGGCTGTCTATTATCGCTGATGATCTTCCCGATTGCAGTAGACTGAATAATGCAACAGATAACGGGAAATGAGGAAACAGGCATAAAATGGATTCACAGAAAAACTTGGAGGATCTGGACTTCGCCGATGATATATGTCTGATTTCCCACAAACTGGAAGATATGCAACTGAAAAGCAACAAGCTGGCAGAAGAACCATCCAGAGAACATAGGACTTCAGGTGAACATGGGTAAAACAGATGTGATAAAGATTCCTGGCCAACACCAACAGCAACAACAGACAACAACCAGCCAGCATAAATGGGAGGAACCTGAAAGAAACAACCTCCTTTACCTACGTAGCTACCTGGGAAGCATCGTTTCAACTACAGGCGGACGGAACTGACGAGGATATCAAAGCAAGACAAGCTTTCATTACTCTTAACTCTGTGTGGAGGTCGGCAGCACTCAGCATCAAAAATAAGATCCGGATTTCCAACTCCAATGTGAAGTCAGTGGTACTGTAACGACAGAAGGCAAGAGTCAGGCAACAGATCGTTTTTAATAAGGAAATCAAAACATATTTATAGATTTTCATGTACAAATTATAGATTATTGTTAGCAGAAAAACACAGTCTTCTGATTGGCTGTTTCTCACAGAAAGTTAACCTTCAATCTCTTTGTGACTGTTTCTTGAATGTCAGATCATCTATATGTCAACTGTATCCGCCTACGCAAAGTCTTTGTTCTCATTTTTCCCACGACCAAACATTGATGTAAATTACTGTCTACCACTTTTGGCTGGCAGTCAGCTCTCACCACACTACTATACGGATCAGAGACTTGGTGCGTCATAAAGAGCATCTCAAACAAACTACAGAACTTCGTCAACAGCTGCCTTCGCTCAGTACTCAAGATCAGATGGCCGGTCAGAAAAGATCAGCAACAAGAAGGGATCTCTGGGAGCGAACTAACCAGGAACCGATTGTGCAAGAAATAGGCGGGGAGAAATGGAGATGAATTGGCCCTACTCTGAGGAAACAAATCATCAAGTGAGTCACATGACACGACAGGCCACTTCTCGAGTGGAACCTGATGGAATGAGCAGCGGCGAGTTGGAAGTCACTACGAGGGTGACATGGAGGAGGTGATGTGAAGAGCAGATGAAAGCATGTGGGTGCATGTGGAGCGAGATGAAAACATTGGCAGGGAACTGAACGCAGTGGAGACGTGCGGCTGGAGCCCTATGTTCCTCTAGGAGCTAAAGAAAACAATAATAATAATAATCTCACTGTTTGTTTTCTTAACCTCGCCTGGTATATTTGCCCGCTAGTCTTGCAGCTGGTCCGAAGCCCATCAAAAGAGGAAGAGTTGAACGTAATGTTAGCGACCCTACACCAGAAACTTCAATGCGCCTGTACAAAAGAAGTATGTACAATCTTTACTTCTGCCTTGACTATAGAGGGATAGACATTTATTTATTTATTTATTTTGTTTATTTAGATAATCTATATACCTTCTCCTCATTACTGCGATTATTATTATTATTATAACTATTCGCACTTTGAACATTTCCACTTGTACCACTTGTCATTCTAAATCCAAAAATGTTTTTACAATGTTGAATTCCACCTTATCAAATCTCACATCATGTAATGAAACATTTTGTATTAGCCTACTAACCCCATAACTATGCACTCCTTTCCAACATCAATACACCCTATGAATTATTCTATATCTCTTCAAGTATTTGTTTTGTAAGGATTTTGTTTTATTGCATGGAGGATTTCATTATGAGCTGACATCAATTCGAGAACCACTGGAAAACCAACTGGGAGTAGTGGACAGCTGTTTCGTCCTAGTTTGGGACTCTTCAGCAGTACGCACCTACCGACAAGTTTCGAACCCAGGACCTTCTGGTTAGAAGGCAAGCTCGTAGACCATTGAGCCACTGAGACACGATCCAATGGCCAGCCCATGAATTCTAACTTCCGCCAATTCATGACATAGCGTGACCATTAAGCAATGTCTTCTTCAATGAGTTACTACCTCACCTTCAACCTGCTGTACCCTACTGGTCACGGCATTGAGGATTTCGTCATGAGCTGACAGTTATAGCTCTATTGTTCAGAAGAAAGGCAGTTAATCGGACTAAAACTGCCTATGGCACTTTTTATTCCTATACGTTCCCTGTGGAACATAGGGCTTCAAGCTAGAGACCAGGAGTTTCTGCAGCAGTGGTGTCCATCGTTTTTTTCGGATGGCGTCGCTGGCCTCATATACCCATCCTTCTCTCCTTAACAGTCTTATTTTGGCTTAGCGAGGTTTGGTAATGCGTCGTTAGTCAGGGATCTAACTTCAGACCACATGCATGGTTGGCAAGCATTTTACCTCTGTGCCACCGATGCAAGCCTATTGCATATTTATATGATAGGCGATGGATATGACTGTTAGGAGGTGTAAGTGTTTTGTAGTGTATGAAAAATAGAAACGTTAATCCAAAGAAACGTATTGATATATTAATTTGCAGAAAAATGATCATGCGTTAACACTCCGAAATTCTAAAGTGTCAATAAAGCTCACTGGAATTTGAATGGTTTGAAATGATTGACTCATTGAACTGATTAAAATGGGCTATATGGTTGATGGGCTCGACTCCGAACTGCCATCCAGCAGTGGTTAGATCACTTTGATATAGCTGATTCTGGCTGGCAGTGGAATATGGATACATGTACGGGTTCAAAATAGGACCGAACACCCATGGTGGATTTCATCACCAGTCACTATCAACTAAATATTAACATTTAAACCTTTGGACACTCAAGGATTCGACACTTCAACAGAGTGTCCAAGAATTCTGATTCAGTATAATCAATTGACTGTAAACACACCATCTCACTTAAATGGATCATTTTCACCAAGTGTTGCTTTGCAGGGATTCAGCTGGTTACCGGATTGATCACAGGCTTACATCGTAAAATCAGCTGGGAGTACTGGAAAGCTGTTTTGTCTTAATCTTAGACTTTTCAGCAGTAGGCGCCCACTAGGGTTCAAAACCAAGAACCTGGAGTCAATCAATGACCACACCTGTAACCGAACAATTCCCTGCAAATCAACACCTTATGGCTAATCTGATGCTCACTAATGACCAACTTTATACAGGAAGTTACCCAGAGTTCTAATGAGAAGTCGTACCCACTAGGGTCTACCAGATCAAATTAGAGATCAATTTACTCGCCTGTAACACTGGCTGGCAGTCGCCCAATATGTATCGCGAATTGGCAGAAGTTAGAATTCATGAGCCATTGGATCAGGTCCCAATGGATAATTGGTCTACAAGCTTGCGTTGTAATCAGAAGGTCCTGCCTGGGTCCAAACCCTGCAGGTGTGTGCTTACTGATGAAGAGTTTCAAATAGAGAAGAAACAGCTGTCCACAATTCCCAGGGTTCTTAATGGTTCTCTAAATAACTTCTAGTAAATTCTTAAATAGAGGTATTCTTGTTATTGTATCTCACAAAAATAATATGGTTTCGACACAATAGACTAACTGGGATGATGTCGAAATTTTAAACAGAGGAAGCAACAAAAGTGTCGGGGAATTCCTAGAAGCCTGATACTCAAATGGATCAGTCAACGATTAACAAACATATTAGTGTAGACCAAATTTACCACCAATTAATAAAAAGTAAATCATGTGACAAGAAATTTCAAAACAAAAGTCAATAAAAAAATGATCAGTACAGATGTGAATCGACTACTAATCACGAAGATGGCTGCCAGGATACACAATTCTATCATTCATTCATTTAAAACTTGCACTCAGATGGAGATGTTGTGCAGAAGGACTACAAAAGCTCTGCAATTAGACTAACCAGCTCAGAGAACACAACTAATTGCAAATAATGTAGGTTTTATTAACATGTAATTAAGTATAATGGTAGGAAATAAATTTTACTCGAAGTGTCACTCAGTGAATAATCCTGTCTATGGAATTTGACTGTAACAGAGTGTTAAAATGTGGATAATTTATGTCTATTTTGAATAGTTGAAGCAAAATACACAAATGAAAAATATTGTTCTCAATTAGATCTTCATCGGGCTGTACTCTAATATATATACGCCTTGCTGACAATTGTCAACAAGTAGTCGCTTTATTTCGGGGACCATGTGCATAGTCAGCGACAGTCCCAACCGCTGTGCCACCAACGCACATCAAGTGAATTTATAATACCAGAAAAGAAATACAATACATAAAAATTGATCTGATGCCCACTAGTGACTGGCACTATTCAGACAGTGACCTGGGAATCTAATGGCAATCCAAGACCAGTAGGGTACAGCAAGTTGACGTTGAGGCAGTAAGTCATCGATTAAGACATTGTGAAGTGGTCTTGCAATGTCATCAATCGGTAGAAGTTAGAATTTATGGGCTGGCCATTGGATCAGCTCCCAGTGGTCTACGAGGTGGCTCGCCTTGTAATTTGAAGGTCCAGGGTTTGAACCCCATGATTTGGTTGCGTATTGATGAAGAGTAGCAAGCTAGACTGAGGAAACAGAGATGGCTGTCCAGTACTCCAGTGGTGGTTTTCTAATAGTCCTCTAACTGATGTCAGTCAGCTCATGATGAAACCGATACTTGAGAAGCATTAATAACTTCCAATAATATAAAAGATAATACAAGAAACTTAGCAAAGAAAAATATTGGCCATCAAAAAGAAACCTGATTAGCCTATTTCTGTCGATTTCAACTTGGATCACTAGATGACATCAATTAGAGAAACATTAAAAGCCAAGGAGTAGCAGAGAACTGCTTCACCCTAGTTCAGAACTATTCAACAGCTTTACTAAGTATTGAAATCACGACTTTTGTGTTATGAGAGTGACTATTCAACCAGCAAGAGGGAAATAAATGACCTACCAATGAATTCTGTCTAACTTTTACGAATCCCCGTTTCGTTTTAAACTAGGAATAAAAAATCGCCAACACCGTATTCCCTCATCTTCGTTGGTTCGGTAACATTGATAACATTTTGAAATGTATTTAATTGAATTTTAGATTTTTCCCGTCGATTGATTGGACCGAAGTGCTTGGTCTCAGGTTGACATATCTATCGGCTTCTTGTGCAGATGCTTTGACGATATCTGGGCATATAATTAGAATTTAACTGGTGGATAGTGACTAGCAGTGGAATCGAGGATAACACGCATTTCGTCCTATTCAGGACTCGTCATCTGGATGTACATACATTCTCACCGAGGCTCTAACCCAATGCTCATCCAGATGACGAGTCCCGAATAGGACAAAATGCACGTTATCCTGGATCCCACTGCTAGTCACCAATCCACCAGTTAAGCTATTCTGAGATGTAATTTAAAATCAATCGACTACAAACAGACGAACAAAAAACGAAACCTTTATTACCAAGACTTACTAAACAATTGATTTTCCAACTGAATTTTGTCTCCTCCAATTGAAACTGACCAATAACTGACCTGACAAAATTACTTTTTGTATGATTTGGAAATGGTAGTTGAGAATTTTTTGAATTTTCCGTTTGAGGTAATGATGCTTTAAGAATATTATGGATACCTAAAATTTAGAGTAAACTTTAATACAGCATTTACCCTCATTATGAGCTTTACTCATCATCAATCGATTTTTTGTTGTTGTTGTTGGTGTAGATTGATTGCATAAACGTTTTATTGTCGATAATTTCTGTTGTCTCTCTGTACGAGATTTATCTGATGGTCTGAAGAAAATCGTTTTTTTTAAAATAAAGAATGGTTCTACAAAATGTTAACATGAAATCATAGAAGAAATTAAAAAGACGGGGTTGTGGCGAAGAAAAGCGTTTTCGCTACGATAAAGACAACATCAACTAGGCTATACATTCGTGTAAATATTGCCTAAAAATAAGGGGTGCGAAAGATCCACAATTGATTCCGATCAAGGAGTGAATTAACAGGATTGAATCTTTGTGCAATTAGGTATTTCAAATGCAGTAATAACAAAATAGACGGGTAGTTCCCGAGTACGTTTTACTATCTGACGGTCAATGTACTCAGCTCCATGGGTTCATTAGCTCTTGCTTCCACTTGTAAAATACACTCGGAGCGTTATCAAACCTGGCTGGTGTGTATACAACTCGGTAACAGAACATCCAGTGAATTCATTACATTCAGCTCACTACATTTCGAAAAGACCTTCAAAGACGAATACAAGATCCAATCAAATTTCTTCGAAAGGATTGAGATCAAGGCAGATCTAGGCATGGTTGAGACACCAGCAATTCAAAAGTCCAAGCCTACGTTATGCATCTAAAAGAAATGTGTCCAGCCTTTGTCTCTTCATCATAAACAGTTGATTCTGTCAATAATGATCATCCTATTATCTTTATTATTCAAACTTCATGATTATTTCTGTTAATTTTATGCTTCCTATTCCACAGTTTTCTTTTAATCTTAACTTCCTATTTATTTTTTATTGCTGAATTATTAATCCTAATTGCACAAAATATCAATTTTTCAATATAATTGTGATCCTAGTTGATTCATTTTGAATTTACCCACTGATTGATTGGATTGAAGTGCTCGGCCTCAAATTGACATGTCAGATCTTAGTGCAGATGCTTTAACGGTGTCTGATTATTCAACCTAGAGTGAATTGGTAGATGGCGACTAGCAGCGGAATCCATGATGCGCATTTCGTCCTACTCGGACTCGTCTTCTAGAAATGCCTGCTTATACTTTATTTGTGCAACAAGTATCAGTAATTATTTAATTCCGTTGATTCATTGAACAGAAATGCTTCAACAGAAACACCATCAGTCACTCAATCACTGGAGAATGCAGGTACATTCAACTGGTGAATCCCAATTAGGACGAAATGCTTATCCTGGATTCCACTGCTAATCACCATCCACCAGTTCACCTCAAATCATGATCCTACTATGTTTTTATCTCAACTTCCTGTTTATTTTGTTACCGATACATTTTAAACTCTGTTAGTATTGATGTTAATTCGACCCTTGGTCGGAAATAATTGTGAATCTTTTTTCACCCGTTTACTGTGCAATACATACGCGAATGTATCGCCTAGTTGAGGTTTTCTTTATCGAAGAGAAGACGTTTTTCTTCACTGCAAACATCTTTTTAGCTGGGTGAATAATTATGGATTAAAAAAACTTCAAAAATGTTTCTGTTATAAACCTAAACCTTACAGGAAACTAATGAAAGCCAGGAACATATATATATATATATATATATATATAGACTATAAGATTTTTAACTATACTTGCCAAGGGATCTGACAGTTCCATGTGTGGTGAGAGCAGGCTGCTAGCCAATCGGTAGACATTAATTTACGTCAATGTCTAGGCCATTAATATTGGCCGTGAGAAAAGATGAACAAGGCTGATTCAACAACCAATCACAGCGGCCTTAACGTGAGCAAACAAGATTCGCAAATATATGGCTTAACTTTCCGAGAAACCAGAAATAACCAATCAGAAGACTGTGTTTGTCTGCTTGAATAAGCTGTGATAATGTACATGAAATATATATAAATACGTGCTGATTTCCGTAATAAAACAACCTGTTGTCTGCCCTTGTCTTCTGTTGTTACACAAGTATCATTCTAAAGGGGATAGGCCACAAGAACTTTGGCAAGAAGCCTAGCAGCTAGGATCCTGTTACTCAGTAAATATGCCCAAGGAAATGACCATGTAATGGATATATGCTGAAGAAACTTTCAAGTAAAACTACACTCCATGACTTCACTTAGATTTTGAACTGTAAGCGATGGATTGGATGTCGCTTCGAAGCTAATGTGAAAAAAATCATATCAGAAGGTAACAAAAGCTTTTAATTAGTTGTGGGTGTGAATACAATGCAATACCGATGTGGAGCTGAGGGTCTATGTCTCACTGAGAAAGCAAAGAATGAATAGTACAGCCAAAATAATGTTCGATTATGTGTAGTCAAGCAATAAACAAATAGTGACGTAATCAACAGTTAAATCAATCAAACATTTCAATAAATAAACAAAAGGACTTCATTATTAGCTGACAATAGTTAGAGAACCATTGAAATACCTGGCAGTACTGGACAGCTGTTTCGTCCTAGTTTGGGACGCTTCACAGTATACACCCACCAGGGCTCGAACCCAGGACATTCTGTTTACGAGGCGAGCTACCTCGTAAACCATTAAGCCAATGGGACCCAATCCAATGGCCAGTCCATGAATTCCACCTTCTGTCAATTCACGAAATAGTGTGACCACTGACCAATGTCTTCAGCGATTATTTGTCCTCACAACCTACTGGTCACGACTTCTCACTAGTACCCCAGGTAACTACCTGAATAGGGCAAGTCGCCAGTGAGCATCTCATTGATATTCAAGTGTTGGTTTGTAGGGATTTGATTGATTGGTTACAGGATTTCATCATGAGCTGGCATTGGTTAGAGAACCATTGGAAAACCTGAAAGTACTGGATAGCTGTTTTGTCCTAGTTTGGGTGTGCAGGTACTTTCACTATATATACATACATATGTACAAAAAAACAGATGACTTGCCTAATGATATAAGAATAAAACTTGGACACTTTGATAGATTGTAATTCCATTATGCATAAAAATTTTCTTTTCATAAAGTCACGCAGTTTTAAACAGTCATATTTACTGATGACCATGTTTCGAGCACAATTTATTGCTCCTCATAATCATATCAAGGTACTCACATAACTTTTTTGCTTCGTTTATATACACGGGTAAAAATTGATGATTGGACATTTGAAAAAAACTTGTGTAAAACAGAATGGAAGATAAATCACACTCAGAAGCAATATTAGTTTAATCAATAGAATACAATAAGATGGGAAATAAAATATTTTCATAGTAAAATAAATAACTTGTTAGAATGTGAGCTAGAATACATTTTAACATTATCTATTATCCTCTGATTTGTCTGGCGGCAATAATATCTTCCACATCTCTGGTATTTGCGTTGATTTACTTGTATTGTATGTGTTGGGTGTAGATTCACTCGATGAACCAGGCAGGATTCAGTAATCAATCTCTCACGCGCTCCACCTGCCTATATTGCTTTTTAAAATTTTAACCCTCTCCCACTCGCCGTATTGTGTGGTTGTGTGTTAATGTATGCAGTGCAAGCAGTGCCTCTAAATTACTTATCTTCGTGGGATCAATCATTCTAACCTAAGCTAAATTATTATATTCTGATAATCTCACTACCCCAAGATCTACCAGTTTCACCTATGTATTCAACCTAACGGTCGTTTCAAGTTATTTTGTAAATTATATCATTTTGTTCATTTGAGTCCACCCGGTCATTTATTATATTCAAATGTCTAATCAATTTTTAATAAGAGAACAAGACATATATACGCGAACAATATTGCTGTTTTCGGTTAGATCTTCTTCAGGCTTTAATCTAATTTACACAGATTTATGTATAGCAATTTTAACCAATGATGGGGATTTTATTATTGCTATGTGATAAATGCTTTGAACGTAATTATTAACGATGATTATGACGATTACATGGAGGATTTCATCATAAGCTAACATCACTTAGCTGGGAGTACTGGCCAGCTGTTGATAACCAATGTTGATAATAAGGTTTATACAGGTGGCGATAAGAATAACAAAGATAGTAAAATGTGTGTGAGTATGTACAGACAATTCAATCAATAAATTAGGTCAAGTTCTAAAAGTTACGTAATACTAAAAGTGAATTGGACAGATAATCAGAGTTTAAATAAATATCATAAAAGTACGAAGGAAAAGGAAGATAAGAAAGGGTAGGAGGGTTTTTAATTAGACTTTAACTAGGTCAAGGCAGAGACAAAGGTAGAACAAACTTCTTTTGTCGTATGCAAAGACTAGGATTGTTCTCTTGAATTCCTATAGTTTCATTATAATAAAGGTTTTTGTATTTCTCAATGAATGAAAAACAAAACGATATTGTTTTTACTGACGTTTCGCTATTTAATGCAGCTAACAGCTTTATCAAAGTATTATTAATCCGGAATTTACAAAATCTCAGCATATATATATATATATAACAAAGAGTTAAGGGATGAGTTATGTGTAAAAGACGGGTTCGAATTCCGTTCGAAAGGCTCGATGAAATACGACAGATAACTTTGACGCCACTATTTCTGTCCACTTGGGGACCACTATCAATCAAATGAGCCAAGATAGAACTTCTTATAGATTTTATTTGACCTTTACCTCTAAACCATGAAGGAAGATGCTCACTCATGCGTTTTTTAGTCTGTCTATTTGTCCGCCCTATATTACCTCTCTTTCCACAGGAGCAATTAAATTTGTAGATACACATAAAAGTGGCACAGTTAGGTAGCTTGTCTTTCACTTGGGCAATCATAAGTGTTCGGCTGGAAAATGATATTTATTTAAACTCAGATTATCTGTCCACTTCGCCTTTAGTATTACGTAATTTTTAAGATCTGACCTAATTTAATTATTGAATTGTCTGCATATACTCACACACATATTACTACCTTTGTCACTCTTATCACCACCTGCATGAGCCTTATTATCAATACTTTTTTTATCATTATAATCATCGTTATTAACTGCGTTCAAAACATTTGCCACATTACAATAATAATTATTATTACTATTTGTTATTATTATTAATTGATCCACAAATTCACCATCATTGGTTAAATTGCCTTATATATAAATCTATGTAAATTAGAGTACGGGGCACCATCGACAATTATACATCTCATCCAACAGTTATACGACAATGCTGCATGACAAGTAACCCACAAGGGGGACCTTACGGAAGCCTTCGAAGTAAGGACGGGAGTGAGGCAAGGCTGTCCACTATTGTCAATGATCTTCCTGACTGCAGTAGATTGGATAATGCGACAGAAAACCGGCAATGAGGAAACAGGCATAAAATGGATCCACACAAAAAACTTGGAGGATCTGGACTTCGCCGATTATATACGTCTGATTTCCCACAAACAGCAACTGAAAAGCAACAAGCTGGAGGTAGAAGAAGCATATAGAGACGACAGGACTTCAGGTGAACATAAATAAAACAGAGGTGATGAAGATTCCTTGCCAACACCAACAGCAACAACAACAGACAACAATCAGCCAGCATAAATGCGAGCAACCTGAAAGAAACAACCTCCTTTACCTACCCACCGACCTGGGAAGCATCGTTTCAACTACAGGCCGACGGAACTGACAAGGAGATCAAAGCGGCGAGGATCGGGAAAGCAAGACAAGCTTTCATTACTCGCAAATATGTGTGGAGGTCAACACCCAGCACTCAGCATCAGAAATAAGATCCGGATTTTCAACTCCAATGTGAAGTCAGTGCTACTCACTAAACGGAGCAGAGACTTAACCAGCGCGTCATGAAGAGCATCTCAAACAAACTTCAGACCTTCATTAACAGTTTTCTTCACTCAATACCACTCAAGATCAGATGGCCGGCCAGAAAATATCAGCAACAGGGATCTCTGGCGATGGGCGAACCAACACAGCAGGAACCGATTGTGAAACAAATAGTCAGGAAGAAATGGAGATGGATTGGCTGGCCATACGCTGAGGTAACCATCAAATGACATCACTAGACAAGCTATTGCTAGAGTGGAACCTGAAAGGGAAGTGGCGAGTTGGTCGTCAGTGGAAGGGTGACTTGGTGGAGGTCATGTGAAGAGGAGATGAAAGGATGTGGGCAGACTTGGAGCGGGTTGAAGAAGTTGGCAGGAAACCGAAGGCAATGGAGACGCGTGGCTGAAGCCGTATGTTCCTCTAGGAATTAAAGGATATTATAATATAAATAATAGTAAATTAGAGTAAATCCTGAAGAAGATCTAATTGAAAACAGCAATATTGCTCGCTTATATATATGTTATTCTAATATATTAATAATGGGAATATTTAAAGATTTGTAATCAATTTTTACTCATGTATATAAACGACGAAGCAAGAAAGTTACGCTAGTATTGCCTTGATATGATAACTATGCACAGTAGTAATAAACTGTACTCAAAACTGTACTTGGTCATCTGCAAATATTACACCTTGAGCAGCAATCATCGTGTGTTTGGCATGCGATTCACCCCTGCAGAATGCGAGATGCTGCTCCAGGACTGGACTACGTCAACTCCTACATAGCTTAGTGATAGGGAGTGAAGTGATAGAACATGTTGACCACTTCACCTATTTGGGAAGTTGTATCAGCACCAAAGGACTGATTGGCGATGAAATCTCAGCACGGATCCAAAAAGTTTAAGCTGCTTTCGCTAACTTACACCATCTCTGGCGTAGGCGTGACATCCGGCTATCAACCAAGGTACGTGTGTACTGCTCAGCAGTTTGCTCCGTCCTTCTCTATGCCTCTGAAACATGGCCAATACGAGTTGAAGACATGAAAACGTTGACTGCTTTCGATCATAGATGTCTGCGATCTCTTTCTCACGTTAGGTGGTTTAATAAGGTAAGTAATGCTGACGTTAGGCGTAGAGTATTGGACAAGAGGGAAAATCAATCGACGAGGCTATAAAGTTACATAGATTGAGATGGATAGGTCACGTGCTGCGCATGCCTAACCATCGGCTCCCCCGACGGGCACTACTAGCCGATATAAGTGCAGGTTGGAAAAGAGTAAGTGGCGGCCAAACAAAAACATGGCATCAGTCCATGAAATCCTTGACAGTTAAACTGAGTCGGTCAGGTAGGGAGATGCAGACCCCCTGGTTGGGGGCCTCGGGACTCTAGGAATCAATGGCTGAAGACAATAGGTGACATGGCTCAAAATCGTTGTCAATGACAGCGCAGATGTATTCAGTCTCTGTAATCTTTCATATTTCTTTCTACCATTACCCATTCTGTTTCGCTCTTATACCTGTCAAACTCTACTGATTCTCATCACTCATCTTCTTGTCTAACTTTGTGTGCTATTTGGAACGTGACAACTCGAACTGCTTCGCACTTCGGTGCCAAGTTCTATGTTGAATCCAGACAGACAGAAATATTACTGTAAATGTAACACACTGTGTGATTTTATCAGAATGAAAATTTAATCCATAAAATGACTTACCTAATATTTAATAAACGGAATGTATCCGTCAGTAGGCCATGCTTAACTCGTTTATCCAATTCCTGGTCACTGTTAAAACTCGGTGAACGATTCACCTCAATCAACCATGGATTTAAATTTTTATCTAACAAAATATCAAAGCCTAGAATTTCGAATAAATTTGAACGAATAAATGATGTTGAGAGATATTCATTCGAATCTCTATATCTTTTTGATGCCTTTGTCGACTGTTCTACATTTGCGCCTAGATGTTGACTACTATCCTTATTGTTTATTCGTTGTTGTTGGTGGTGGTGTTGCTGCTGTTTCACATTAGACAAGTTTGATTTCAACTCATTATTCAACTCATTGGACATTGAACACTTTTCATTGACATTATTAATGCCTGTCTGTTTGTTTAAATAATCCTTTGGTAATTTTGTATTGGAGAAATGATTTGATTTATACCGACACATACGATAAGAATGCAATAGATGAGGCAAAGCGATAGCTATTGTCTTAACAATTAGATCACGTATTTTTTGCCATATATCCAATGGATTGCACTGTTTCACATCACGTATATAATTGTTGAAAAATGTAAATGAACGTTTACTGCCAGACATTTCATCAGCTGATCGATTATATTCAGCATGATGTTTATTTACAGCATAATTGGTTAAATGGCGATAAACTGAATCCTTAAAGGATAAAAAGATGAAGAAGAAGAAGGTAAGATGCGTGAGGAAAAGAACCACTAAGTGGCAGCAGCAGCAGCAGCTTCGTGTCCTTGAAATACAAACACAATCTTTAACTGGTGGATGGTGACTAGCAGTGGAATCCAGGATGCGCATTTCGTCCTATTTGGGACTCATAAGCTGGATGTACCTGCATTTCTCAGTGAGTGATGATGTTCCCACCGAGGCTCAAACCCAGTACCCATAGTTTCAAACGCTAAAGCGTTATCCACTAGACCACTTGGGCCACGAGAGCCACCTCTTGTGCAATGGGTCATATTAATTTTATTGAGTTTGAGATTTTCCCGTCGATTGATTGGACCGAAGTGTTCGGTCTGAGGTTGACATATCGGCTTCTTGTGCAAGAAGCCGACTAAATGCCCAGACATCGTTGAAGCATCCGCACAAGAAGCAGACATGTCAACCTGAGACCGAACACTTCGGTCCAATCAATCGACGGGAAAATCTCAAATTCAATAAAAAAAACAAAAGAAAGACAACCGCAATCTGATGAAGTGCTTGATCCGCCACAGAGCAAGACAGCAATCTGCTCGAATGAATGTCATGATGACGAACTTGATAATAATAATAATAAACGGTTGCTGAGTGATAACAGTTATCCAGAAATGATAATTGATAAGAATATGAATCTAAAATCAAAGCAGCCCAAGGTACTAACAGTTTTTAGAAAGGCGTTAATCCCTACAAGTTCAGTTCCTCGGAGACAATATCAGCAAGATGTTAATACAACGCGTTAGAAATGCGGTAAAAAGAGCATTCTCAGCTGCTGAATTACACTATGTCTTCAAAAACCACCCAGCCTATTTTGCGTTCGGGTGCATAATTTCGCCTCTTCCATGTGAATCTGTAAATTTAACTGCTTCTGTGCAGTGGTGAGCCAGTTAGTTGCTTAGGCAGTACAACTGGGTGTGTTTCTTTTTGGATTTCTGGACATCACCCTGCGTGGTTGGTTAAGCACAGGACAAACAAAGTCTGTTCACACAGCGCTATTCTATCTCATCTTGCGGATACAGAACAGAGGATTGATGTCAACAAGGCGACTTTCAAAGTCATCCACCGCATACTAACTAATCTTGCTACAGCCTTTGAGATCCACATCAAGAACCCTAATTTATTCGTCCAAAAAAAGCTAGTTCACACATCCTTTCCTTGGCCATCCAGATTTGAATAATCCTCAGTGTTTTGTAGAGATTTCCTTAATTTTAGTTGATATTCTATTTGCTATTATATCTTTATTATTATTATTATTATAATTTAAGCACCTTTAATCAGCTGTTATTCCATTGATAATACTTTACAAATCGATATCATTTAAAAAACACCAAAATTGTTATTGACTACTATTCTAGAATATTCTATGTATGTAAACATATATATATATATATATATATATATATATATATATATATATATTGTAGAGCCAGAAGAGAAATTTATCGAAAAGGATATTCTTTGCTCAATTATTTTGCTGTTTTTTTTAGATGTCTGAATGAATATTTCCGCTATATTTGAATATGTTACTCCTCATTAGAATGAAACAGCTTTTCAGCCATTCTCTAAATAATGTCAGTTTGTAATGTAACGTAGCCATGACTAAATTCATCGGTAAACCGTTGAACATAGAATCCTTAGGTGACAAAGCAAGCCCTTTAACCATCCAACCGCTGATTTGCTTTCGTAAGCTGAAGGTGCTACTTTCAACCCGCAGTTGATTGATGGTTTTGTGCTGTTAAAATCTTCTAAATTAAGACGAAACAATAAAAGATAGATTCAGCGAAGAAAATTTTCTTTATCGACGAAATCATCTTCAGAGGCTGTACAATCGTAATTATACTTAATAAATATACTTAGAAAAATACTTAGAGCCTAATCTGATGATTCTCTTCAAATATCGATCTACAGGAAACCAACATGGAATGGTCAGTAAACAAATTTCCATAGATGGGTCCCTTTGAGAAGAAAGAGAAATCTCATCCATTCCTTATCCTCAAGAATAAGGAGGATATGTTCAAGTGATACAATCGATGGGGAACTGGGGCGACTCAGACAAGTTCTCATAGAGAATCATATCTCATATCCTCCAAGATTTATCGAGAAAAACATGAAGTTAGGAGAAAAGTCTGAAAGAATCCAGACGGTGCCGAAGAAACTGCTCTTTATGAGTGTTGAATTTAAAGGTGATATCGCAGCTGAGATCTTGAAGAATCGCTTATGCAGATCACTGAGGAAAGCCTTCTTTATGTATGAGCTATGTATCAACTTCTATAGCCGACAAATGATCAACGCAAGTATAAAGGATAAATTGCCGCTTTGGGCCACCTCAGTGTGGGTTTATAAATTCACCTGCTCGTGTGGAGATAGTTATATTGGCCGAACAAAGTGCACGCTTTCCAAACGCATCTCTGAACATTATCCGGCATGGTTAGCAAAGGGATAATGCAAGACAATTACTAACTCAATTCTCGAGCATTTAGTGAACTCAGGCCACGTAGTTCCACCAGAGTCATCGTCTTTCAACATCATCTAAAAAAGGAAGCCAAATGGTACAAAGGGCGACAGGTTTCAGCTTTTGTGTATTGCGGAGGCGCTGGCAATTCATCAACTCTGTATATAGAAAAGATTTGTCCAGTCTCTTATTCTACCTTGGTCTTAACCTCTTCACTAATCGTTCCCTGTAAAAAAATTTTTGATTTTTTCTTTTGTTCTTAATTTCTAATTTTACTTTTAGTTTGCTTTTGCTTTAATAATTAATTCACTATTATCACTCGCATATGCTCCTTTTGTATATTTTCACACTCTCTTTACACTTGTTAAATGGACACTCAACTATCTTTATTCTCACTCAAGAGCAATTTTAACCTTATCAAACTTCTATCTTTGTTCCGTTGAGTACCATGTAATTTACAACTTTTAATTTTCAATTCTAAAGTCATTTATGATTAATTATATCAATTATGTCACCCCCAACCTATTATTCAATAATAGACCACTATACATTTTTCTAAGTATAAATACGACTGTACGTCAGCCTCTGAAGATGATTTCGTCGATAAAGAGAATTTTCTTGCTGAATCACTCTTTTATTTTCTTCATGACTCAATGGGTATTTTCCGTGATTTTAAGACGAAACAATAGCTACCCAGTATTCCGAAGTTTTTTAAGGTTCTCAGACCAATGTCATTTTGTAGAATAACACTTGTAAAAATTTTATTTTTTTTAGAAAACTGTTAACCTCCTCTGTTAAATTTTTGATAGACATTTTAGTATGAAGTTATAGCTAACATTTTAGGCTGCAAAAACTTACTGTAACCACATAGCTGATACAAAGACTGATAAACTTTCGGTTAAACTTAAAAGCTTTGTTTTCACCAATTACCAATTTGACTACAGTCCGTAGTGAAATATACCTGATTCGCTTATATAACATTCCTTGGCTTTACAAGTGTAATCTAAGGCTTCAAGTTTAAGTGGTGATGATGAGGTTTTTTTCGGAGGGTGGGTAGCTAGCCTCATGAAATAACCTCCTTTCTTTCCAAGCTTACCATTGGTTCGGTAAGGTTAAGGAGTACGTCAGGCGAAAGTTGAACCCGACCGAGCCTCTTCTGCGGCTGACGAGTATTCAACTATTGAAATATCGACGTACAAGATTAACCGAATGGTCAGACAATATATATTACTTCAGAATGGAGCTTTATTTACTCTAAAAAAAAGTTAGTATAATTGTTGGTTTTAATATGATTGAACTTACACCATCCGGTTCATTGGGTTTAACATATTTCTCAGCGCCTAATCGTACTAAACCATCATTATACATAAATATTCTTAATGGATCACATGATGTAATCAAGACATAAACTCTTAAATCACATTTATATCCATCAATAAGTAAAGGACTGTCAATATACTCTTGTATAACACATGTTATATTATCATTGATATTTGAAGGAACTTGATTTGCGTTACGATACAGACGAATTCTATAAATGAATGCAGGCGGGAAAAATGAAAAATAAAACAAACATAAGAAATTAGTTGTATATGCACAGGTTAAAAAATAAAGCTAATCGTTGCTGCAATGTAAATTTCGTTTGTGAATCATTGAAAACAGAGAGCACTTGACAGCTGTTTCGTCCTACTTCAGGACTCCTCAATGCTCTTCGCCGATAACTCTGTTGCTAGGTTGGAAACCAGACGTCTAGCTTGTAAGAAGAGGCCATCGTTTATTGAGCCAGTAGGTAGAAATTCAGGGACCCATAAATCCTGTCAGAGCCTGTTAATTCCTGGTATAGCAGTAGCTCCAACTAATGTTATCGATGAGTATCCATGATGAAATCTAGTGGCCACAACTTTTCATTAGACTTTCAGGATACCCATGTATCAGATGCTAGTGAGTTAGTTCACTAGCATCTAGGGATTTCTGTTTGTTCCGATGTAAATCTTGCGACGAACTGACTTCAGTTAAAGAATCACGAATACCAAAACATAACTAGAAAGTGGTTCAACATACTCTTGAATATTTATCATAGATAGATCAAGCTTATTCGTAATTTGACCGACAGGGAACTCCTCTATGAGATGACTGAACTAAAATACCGAAAAATCCCTTCCCCAGCTCCAACTCCGCCTGCCACTCACTCATCAGTAACTTTCATTGAAATATTAGGAGAAAAAGAAAGACTAACTTATGACTATCAAGACGACTTAACTAAACGTTAATAGATCGTGCATATTCACATATATACGTGTCAGGACTCATTATTAGCAAGGCTGGATTAAGTGCCCGGCCTATGAACTCGTTGATCTCGATTACTCACGGAGTACTAGAAGTTATAACTCATGGGTTGGCCGATGAATCGGGTCCCAGCGGCTGAATGGTATACGAGCTTCATTGGTTGTAATCGGAACGTTCTGGGTTCGAGCGCCACGGTGTGGTTGCGTACTGTCGATGATTCCCAAATTAGGCTAATGAAACAGCTGTCCAGTACTCCCTGACTGGTTTTCAATGCATCTCCAAGTGATATCAACCCGTGATCAACTCATAAAAACAAATCTAATCCTTACAAACCAACTATTGAGAATAATAATATACTAATAACCGTAGCAATCAATTCATCCCTTAGATACACCTTAAAATAAAATACTCTGGTCTAAATTCATTGTCAGGTTCTATAGTTTCTGTTCTAGTTACCTGTCAAGTAAAAATAAACTATCCCTCATCTTTGTTATCTACGTTTGAATGCGTTAATAGAGGTGACTTTATTTAACTGGAGATATTTAGTCGACATAGAGTTTATAAACGATGTTGTGTTGTCTCTTGCAAAAATACTGACAGGGCACAATGTCCTCTGAACAGCATTAGTGTAGAAATACTCTTATATTTCATGCAGTTGGTTCCCTTTATTACTTTGATTAAAGAAAGAACCAACATATTTACAGGATAATACGAACTCGTTTTGTTTCGTGGATTCTCTCTCCCTCTTCAACTGGAACTGATTCTTCCGTTCGCAGTCCATAGGAAATGTCATGCCGCATTGAAGTTTTTGAACATCCTGGAGGCGTGATATATACACATATATATATTGTCGCAAATCACAAATGTGTTGTCAGCATATCTGAAGTGTCTGTTGAAAATGAGCTATGAATACGTCCACAGGAATAGAAGCCAAATGTGAATGCATAGCTACCGCATGAATTCGCCAGTACAGTTGGTTATCGAATTGGAACTATGCGTGATGTGTACAAAGAAGAAGTAATTTTCGTAGCTCCTTTTCGGGAAGAGCAAGTATTTCAAATTACTTGCTAGCGAACAGCTAATGAAGTTTGTTTGAAATGTTCAGTTGGTCTAAATCTTCTGAGAATTGAAAATAACCATTGAAACTGTGGATTGACAACTGTTGTCGAGTTGGTTTGAACCTTTAAGCCGATCACCTAGACAGTTTATGGCATGATGATTTCACCATGGTGAAATTGTGAACAGACATGAATGAAGCAGGAAATACAGAGGACCACCGATTACAACAGGTATGTTGATGACATGTTACTGCTTTGCAACAATATGGATGGATCACGCTTCCACGAAGTTCAAAAACCTCAACGTGGCTCAAACTCACATGACATCTGCAACGGATCATAAAGGTGAAAACCAGTTCCACTGCGTAGATCTATCTCAACATAAAACAAAGGAAATGATAGGACGATTAAAAACTCCATCTATAGGAAAAAAACTTGGATTGATCAATGCTTGAATTATCACTACTTCTACCCGATCTGCTACAAGAGGAGACTGATGAAAACGCTCTTCAGAAGAGCTAAGGCGCTGTGTTCAGAAGATAAGATCGAATAGGAACTCACAGTCATCGAAAAGAAACTTGTGAAAAATCGATACCCTCAGAAGTTTACATCAAAATTGGGGAAAGAAAAACCACTTAGACCGAGATGCGAAATAGTTGAAATGAAACCAATTTTTCTATGTCTAACATACAAGGGCGAAGAAGGATTTATGCAAACACAAATAAAGATGCATTGGAAGGGACATTTCCCGCCGCTACACTCATTCCACTTTTCAACACACTACTCTCGTTAACCCAGTCAAAAGTAGACAAGTATCCTACTCATGTAAACTCCAACTACATTTCCGGAAACAGGTACATAGGAAGGATTGAGAAGAGAGCATCTGGTAGATTCTTCAAGCATATCTCTAGAAGCCACCGTTTGAACGTCACGAAACTCTTCTCAAGCCCAGTCGCCAGACACCTAATTAGCACACGACATACAGTGGAAATTCGCCTGAAGACCTTCAAAATAATCAAAACACTCAAAGAAAACAATGGCTACTTCGGTTGGTTCTCAGAAGCCACTACCACCATGAAAAGACATCAAGCCAACCTATGCACAGAGAAAGATAGTGTGACCAATCTCTCAATACCCTACTGGGACTGGTAACCGCAATTTCTTTTTGTTTGTGTGACCTTGTGTTTTCTCCTGATGCGTAACATTCAGTCTACTCAGTCTTGATTTCGATTCTCACTCACTGATTTGAACTCACTCACTAAGGTTCCAAATCCTGAGCCATCCACCATGATATGCATAAATTTCGCTCTGTTGTTCTGGCTTGTATTTCGTCTCCAGTCTGTCCTTAAATCCAAGCGAAATCAGAAATTTATCCTTACCCCTTGTCTAATTACTCTATAATTAGTTACTCTCTTTCCATTAAATAAAACGACCTTGTATTATCCTGACTGGAAACATCTTTGTTCTTTCATTATTCAAAGTGTTTTTCTTCTAAATGTCTTGTGCGTATTAAGTAATGAATAGTGATACTCACAGAAATCGTTTACCTGTCACTCAAGCTATAGTTTAAGAATAAAGAGACTCAAATTATTGATTTATTTGTGTTCTCTCAGCTGATTGATTTAATTGTAAACTGAAGATATTGTCTAGCAATGGGGACAATGAACGCTTCTTACACAATGAAATCAACTAGCAGTTTAGACAGAGAACATAACCAAGTTAAAATTATCCATCTGATTGATTGTTTTCTCGCTGAAAGTTATTCTATCATCTTTTTGGTCGTTTCTTTGAAGGTTAAGCCATATATCTGCCAATCGTATCATTCCATGTTAAGTCTGCTGTGATTGGTTGTTGAGTTAGTTAGTCTTTGTCCTTGTTTATTTCTCATGACCAAGATTTGGGACGTAAACATATACGTCATTTACTGTCTACTAATTTCAGCTAACAGACAGCTGTCACCACATAAGGCATAAGATGCTGATTTTCAACAGTAAAGTTAAGTCAATTAATGCTGCTAAAGTATGCTTTAGAGTATTGTTGCTGCATCACCAGAATCATTTCCAACTGGCTGTTGCCTACTTTCAGCCAACAGCAGCCACCTTAGCTGAATACTGAGGATCAAATGGACAGAGGGAATTAGCACCAAGGAACTCTGGAAACGAATAAACCACCAATCAATAGCCCAACAGAAGGCTGTCAACGAAAATGGAGATAAATTGGACACAATCTGTGGAGACCGTTGGGTGATATCAACCGCTAAGCCCTCAAATGGAATTCGAATAGGAAATGAAGAATAGGGAGTCAATTAGAGGGTGACACGGGGGGAGAAATAAAAGCTTTCGGCCAAATTGCAAGGAGTGGAGTGAAATGCTCATTTTTTGTTGAAGCTCTGAATCGAAGCGAATAATAACAATAGTGTGGTGAGAGCAGACTGCTGTTTTGTACATTCGTTATGAAAGATTTACACCAGGATCAACAGGCTGAGTGTGAGGAGAGTATGTAGCGTCTAAATCGACAGAGTCTGAGAAGATAGTTAGACAGTTTTCTAGGTACTTGATCATCCCAACTTTTGACGTGTGAAGAATAGTTCCTAGAACATTTACACTGCTATAAGACGATGATAATGGTGGCTGTGGAATATGATCGGTGGTTCTGAGGGATGAAGAATTCTGGTAGGAGGTATTTTGGGGACTCCATTTACTGTCCAAGGAGAGGTTACACATTTTGTAAAAATTACCTTCCAACCACAAAGATGTATCATATGGAGATGCTTCTGTAATTGAAAGCGCGTTGTTGAACTTGGATTACCGAAAGACATTGATGTTATATGCGTCAGCTCATCGACACCATCTTCAGAAAAATCATGCATTGAAGATCTTCCAGCTGTTTGGATGGACTGAATGGTCGATTTGTGACATCATTCTTCACCACACCATCTGTAAATCTGGAGTAAGTATCCAAATCTAATTCAGGTGAGTAGTCGGCAGTCAATTCAGAATTGGACATCGCTCAAACATCATTGTAAAGAGATGATGAAAAGCATTATATGGACAACTTGGTGTTGAAAAACAACAAATGGAATGATAGCAGTGTGTTTAGGCTAAAAACATGAACTGCAACGAGCGCACAACCACATTGTACTTTAGGACTAAACAGTTGGCGTTTTCAACAGCTAGGCATCAAGAGG